CCTTTGTTTTTAAGGAGGGCAAGCAAATTTTCCTGTTTGACAACATGAATAGCAGGATTTGCTGTAATTCTCACCTAATCTGGGCTCTGCACAATCATCAGTGTTATCACCAAAAGCCTTCATTTAATAGACCTTACGAAAAGCAGCTTAGTTATCAATATAATATAATATTTTTTTTTTCCCAGTAGATTAAAGCTCTCTGTGCTTCAGGAATATTCCTCCATAAAGGTTAACGTGGAAGAGATGATTCAATATCCTACAGCAAGTGCAGGAGCAAACAAAACCTAAATATTTCAAAAGCAGGGAGATAAGAAAAGCAAAGCCCACTAATGTGATGATGTCACATCTCTGATCCCTCTTTTTTTAAGGCTGGAAAAGCAGTTCTGGATTTTTGCATTTACCAGTTGAAAGGAGAGCTTCATAAAACCTGATTTAACTGCTAAATGCTGCAGGAAAATCTTTGTGTTTAGAAATTCATGTTTATGGACGGGGCTTGGAGCAACCTGGGCTGGTGGAAGGTGTTCCAGGGGTTTGGAATGAGATGAGTTTTAAAGTCCTTCCCAACCCAAACCTGTCTATGATTGTGTGTTCAGAAGACCAAAATTCCACTTTTCTCTGTTTTCCCATGGAATTGAAAGAAAGAAATCTGGGATGTGTTTCCCTGGAGAGCAACTGGAGGCAACTGATGCACTACAGGAAGCTTGTTCCCTGTTCCTGCCTTATCACTCAGTTTTCCAAGGAATTTATTCCAATGATCAGCTGGAACATGAGTGAACAAGAGATTTCTGAAGTTGATCCTGCCTTTACACCAAATTTGGACTCAGAGCTTTAAGAAATCCAAGACTGATTAACTGTGGGAAAGAAAAATCACGGAGCCATGATCAGGAATCGTGACCTGGGTGTTCGTCCCTCAAAAGTGGGAGGTTTCTGAGGAAATGACCTCCAGTTGCACCAGGAAAGGTTTAGGTTGGATATGAGGAGAAATTCCTTCCTGGAAAGGGTTGTCCAGCCCTGAAACAGCTGCCCAGGGTAGGGGTGGAGTCCCCATTCCTGGAGGGATTTAAAATCCACGTGGATGTGGCACTTGGGGACGTGGCCTTGGCAGTGCTGGTTTGGACTTGATAATCCTAAAAGTCTTTTCCAACCTAAATGATTCTATAATCCCATGATTCTACTTTGGACAGGACAGGAATCCCAGGAGATCACTCCCAGAAAGCTGAAAATCTGGGAGTCTCAACCTCATTGTGAGTCAGGAGCAAATCCAGCCACGGCTGCTGATCCTTATCCCCCAAAAAACCCACCTTTAAACAGGTGCTGCTTTTATGGATACATTTATTTCATCCTAATCAATGTGGAATCACATATTTCATGGAGTTTATTGGCAAAAGCTTCTCAAGGAAAAAAACCAACAATGTTAAATGAGGCTTCTGAGAAGTGTAATTTTTATATTTTCCTTCCATTCCTTCCATTCTTTCTTTCACTCACAATATATTTCACAAAATATATTTACAGCTCCCATCTCCCAGCCTGGTTCCTTGAATCTTTGAGAGACAGCAAGTCCTGCTTTGGAAAACGAGCCCAAATCACTTATTTAAAACCAAGTGCTGGTAAAACCATATTAAATCCTTTTACTCCACTTCTCTGAGCTCTAAATTGATCCTGAACTTTGGCAACTGGATTAAATCTTAGAAATTTCCTCAAGAACGAAACCACAAAGATGGGAATACGGGTCAATAACAAGCAAATATTGCTGCTCTTAAAATGGGCTATTTGAATAAAAAAAAAAAAAAAAGATCAAAAGAAACAAAACCTCCTCAATCTGCTTTTGGTGGGTTTTTTTAACATAGAATTTTTTTTTTATTATTTCTTTTTTTGGCTTCTTTTTGATGTTGGGTTTTGTTGAGGGCTGGGAAATTGCTGCTATTTTTACTTCATGATGTTCTGGTATCTCCAGAAGACAAGATATCTTGGAATTATTTCATCAAACATGGAGGAGCAGACTTGATTTCCAGCTCTGGTGCCAAGGGAAGGTTTCAGCTCCCAAATTCCTCAAAGGAATGAAGCCTTGAGTCACCTCAGGGATGTGCCAATTTAAAACAATCATTAGGGAATCCTTAAAAACTAGGCTTGGTTTTGTTGAGAGCTGGGAAATTGCTGCTATTTTTAGTTCATAGGTGTTCTGGTATCTCCAGAAGACAAGATATCTTGGAATTATTTAACAAGAGCAAGCAAGTCTGAAGGAACAAACTTTATTCCTGGTGCCAGGGAAGGTTTCAGCTCCCAAATTCCTCAAAGGAATGAAGCCTTGAGTCACCTCAGGGATGTGCCACAACAAACCCTTAAAACAATCATTAAGGAATTCATCCCTAAGTCAGTGGATCATAGAATTGAATCCTGGAATCACTAAGGTTGGAAAAGGCCTCTAAGACCATCAAGTCCAGATGGATGGTGGCTGGTGGTTGTTGAATTCTGAGGGAAGCTTCCAAGAGATGAAAAGGCAATTTTAATTTGAATTTTAAAAGAAAACGAGAAAGAAGAAGGGAATGATCATTTATTTCTCTCTCCCCGAGAAGGCTCTAACAAGAATAAAGAGGTTTTGGTTCCTGGAAGGAAGATTTGGGCTGGGAAAAAGATTTCTGGGGTGAAGGGAGACACTGAGTGGGGGAAGAGACGGGTGAGAGATGTCACATGTCCTAAGCTGGAAGTCTTGGAGCACAGGTTAGATGGGAATCTGTCAGAAAAGGGTTATCTGGGATCTTTTCCTGACTGACAGGGGTTGACTAGAATCATAGAATCATGGAATGGTTGGGTTGGAAGGATCCTTTAAGTCCATCCAGTGCCACCCCCTCCACGGGCAGGGACACCTTCCACTAGACCAGGTTGCTCCAACTTGGCCTTGGACACTTCCAGGGATTCTCTGGGCAACCTGATTCAGTGAATCTGGAAATATTCATGTGATCTTAATTATGATTATTCCACCTCTTCATTAGAGTTGGGATCTCACGTTCAGTTCCTCTCACAGCAGTGAATTCACAGACCAAAATGTATCTTCTCACCTCTTGGGTCATTATCTGATGGATCACTTCAAAGTTCACCATGTAAAATCATTAAATCACAATTTTGGAAGCAGATTTCTAAATGCCATAACTCTCCTGAACATCCAACACCATCCACTACCTTATTTTCAGTGCCCTACTCAGGAATTTCCTGTTGGTCTTTATTTACTGCTTTTATTACAGGGGAACAAAAGGCTGCTCAGAGCAGACAGATAATTCCTGTATTTCCATTTTTTAAAAAAAATCAATTTCAATGAGCTTTTTAAAAGCATTTTCAGTGCACTCATGAGGTAAGAAAGCGGCTCTGGCAGCTGTGAAATGACACAGAGACACATTTCCTCTAAATATTTATACGGACTCAAGATAAACCATCGTCTTTAACAAATATTTTGGGATGGTTTCCTATAAAATGGGTGCTCCAGGAGGGATGGTTTAGCAAAAAAAAAAAAAAAAAGAAAAGGCATTTGAGATGGAACAGCTTGTGTAGTAAAATTCCTTCTGCAGCAGGGATGGAAAAAGCAATTGGAACCAGACAACTAGAAAATGAGAGTTGTGAGACAGTATTTGCAGGAAGAGCCGTTTTTAGGTTTGTTTTGAGTCTGGAACTTCCTAAAACATCTTGTTGCTGCCTTTTCTCTTCCTATTTTGAGGGATGAGTTGTGGGGGAATTCATTAAGGAAGAGATTGGACGTGGGATTTAACTTGGATCCACCGTTGTCTGACAGCCTTCTGGTTTTTTGACTAAACAATTCAATTTTGAGTTTAAATACAATTCAAAATGTGTTGGATTTAGCTGATTTTTTTTTTTACCAGTTTGGATTTCTACCAATGAATAACAGCTTTAGAAATCAGAGCCTCGAAAAGCAATAATGGAAGTAGAGGAAAAGGCTTTTTATCACAAAAAAAAATGGATGTTGTGACTCTTCGAAGAGCCCGGGACAGCCCAAATCTCAGTTCCTGTAGGAACTGGACACCAGAGACTTGGCTCCATGGGAATTATGGAAAGATAATTGTTGGGTTTAATTTGGAAAATCAGAGTTGTTGAGGTCATGATGGTCTAACACATCTCTGCGTCTCCTGGGCTGGCTGGTGTGGACATTCCTGGCCTTGCCGTGGCCAGCCAGAAATGGGGTTCCTTGTGACTGAGATTGATACCATTTGAACCATTTATTGATGATTCTCTGAAAGAAATACCAGTTTTGAGGAACTGTTAGACACCAGATCAGGGATTATGGGGTCAGAACCACCTTGTGTGGGGAGGGGGTGGAGGGGGAAAGGATGGGTAGAACCTCACAGAGGTGGGGTGGGGTCGTGTCCCTCAGTGCAGCCCCAGCAGCCACCTGGGGAAGCCCTGGAGTGGCTGTCAGGGAAAACTGGAACAACACACAGCTCCTGGAACCCCTGACCCAGCAGGGACAGTGAGGACACTGCCCTGTAACACCCACAGCTCCTACAGCCCCACATCCAGCTGCAGCTGCTTTTGGGAATGGATTCCTTCCGAGCTGGGGCAGGTTGGCCGGGCTGGGGGAGGCCCCAGGGCCCATGGCAGTGTGTCACAGGGCCCTTTGTGACACGGTGGCCGTCGCCCAGGGGATGGGCCGGTGTCCTTTGTGACCCGTGGGGATAAAGGTGTTGGCGGCAACGCGGCCACGCCACCGTGCTCGGAGCGGGCGACTGGGCAGGACGGGACAGAGCGGTGCTGTGAGGAGCCTCCTCGCAGCCAACTCCTTTCTCATCGACCAGGAGCGTTTCTGAGAGTTCTTTTTCGATCAACTTCCCTCGAGGCCACAGCACAGGAGTTGGGGACCCGGAGCATTTCTGAGGTGACCCCACTCCCTGTGGGAGTGGCCCTTGAGGCCAGGCCACGGGCCTTGGTGCCCTGGAGCTTTTCCGAGGAGTCACCAGTGCCTGTGGCAGCAGCCCTTGAGGCTGTTTTTTGAGACTTTGCCACCAGGGGCTTTTCCAAAACATCCCCAGTCCCTGTGGCAGGAGCCCCACAGGCCATTGTGTCACACTTGGCCGCCAGGGGTTTTTCCCAGGTTTCTCCCCCGCAGGTGCCCTCAACACCAGACTGTGCCATGGCGGGGGGATGCTTCGGCCTGTGCCGGCTGCTCCGGAGGAACAGGAAGAACAGGAGAGGCCCTGGAGCTGGCCCAGCACAGGAGGCGGAGGAGGAGGTGCAGCACTTCCAGCCACTGCAGCAGGGTGAGTGCTGGAGCTGGGCCACAGGGATGGTGGCTGCAGCCAGCTGGGCCCCTTGCCGTCCCCTCTGGACATGGCCAGGGAAAGGGAGGGGGAAAGGGGGGCCCAAGGCTGATCCCCCCGGCATCCGTGCTCCATCCCCTGGGCATCCCAGGGCCGGCCCTGCCTGTGGAGCACAGGGCTGGGCTGTGTTCTCTGGCCTCTCCCGCGGCCCCTCAGCTCTGACTGCGCTCGCTCTTTGCCAGATCCAGGCCGGGACCGCCCAGAAGAGCAGGACCGCGCCCGTGGCCGCTTGCGCAGGGCAGTTCAGGTACCTGCAGCCATCCCTCCCTGGGCTGGGCCTGCTGTCCCTGCTCCGCCTGGCACCGCTGTCAGAGCACTCCATGCCACTTCCCTCTCTTCCCTGCCCTTTCTTCTCCTGCAGAGGTTGCTGAAATTCGTGGGAGTTCGGCGCAGAACAGCCACGACCGCACCGCCCGAGCTCCCGGCACAGCCTGACACCAGCGCAGCCGAGCTCGAGGTGGAGCCGGATGTCAGCACTGCACCGAGGGACTGTGCAGCCAGCGGTGACATGGCACCCATGGATGGCACAGCAACCTTGGACATGGCAGCAACTGATGGCACAGACACCACCACCATGGCAGCCATTGATTGCGCAGCCACCTGTGACACGGCACCGGTTGATGGCACAGACACCTCTGACCAGACACCGGTTAATGGCACAGCAAACTCGGACATGGCACCACTTGAGGGCACAGAAGCCACTGACACTGCACCTCTCGAGGCCACAGCCACCTCTGACACGGCACTGACGGATGGCACAGCCACTTTTGACACGGCACTGACCGACACCGAGACAAGCTCTGACACGGCACCAACAGATGTCGGGGCCAAGGCTGACGCCACGACTGAGAGCATCGCAGACACCGACTGCCTGCCCATGGACAGTGTCACTGATGCTCCCAGTCTGGACATTTTGGAGGAGAAAACTGTCTCCAATGTGAATGAAGTAAGCAGCCTGTGGCCAGGGCTTGAGCCTCCCAGGGGTCTTGTGGACCCTCAAGCCGGCTCTGCTGGGCCCCCAGAGCCTTTGAGGCCAGCACAGTGTGGTGGGAAGGGAAGCCCTTCCTGCGGCAAGCTGGGCAAGCTGCTGGCTCTGGCAGCTCTCCAAGTGTCTCCCACTCCCCTCCAGGTGCCAGCCAGTGTCAGATCCATCCACCAGTGGCTCACGTGCCGGGAGTCTCCAGAGGTCAGGCCGCCCATTGCCATCCGCAGGCTGGCCCACGCACACCCTGGGCACGTGGTGACGACTCTCCTGCACTGTGCCCCAATGTGTGACAGGTACAGGGCCCAGCTGCTTTGCTGCCTCAGGGCTCACCAGCCTTTACAACCCAGCACCCCATCCAGCCTGTCCCTCCTGGTCTGACAGACAAGTGGACAATTTCAGCACCCTCTGGCCCCTCCACTTCCCAGCCCTGGCATGTCAGTCCCTGATCCTGCTGCCATGTGCCCTCCCTACCCCTCAAGGCACCGTGGCTCTGTCACCTGGGCCCCCACAGCTCCCAAGGCCCAAACCCCCCTGACCCAGAGCTCTGGCTCCACAGAGCTGCTGCAATCCTGTGGAGGACCATCGCCTCCTCGGCCACCACAGCACACAAGGTGCTGCCAACGCTGCTCGGGGTGATGGAGGACTGGCCACTGCACAGCGTGTCCACCTCCAGCGGGGACCACATGGACGTCTTTGCCCTGGCTGTGAGTTTCTGGAAGTGGCCTTTGCTCCTCCCCACGTCGCCTCTCCAGCGACTCTCCATCTTCCCCCACCCTTGCATCTCCCTCAGGCCTTGGGCTGCAAATGGGGCTGAGGGGCAGGTTCAGGGGCAGCAGGCCGGCTGCTCCCCCTGGCTCTCCCTGGCCTCTCCCTCCCTCTGGGCACTGATGGTGTCTCCACGTGGCTTTCTTGCAGGCAACCCTGGCCCTGTGGCTGATGGTCCAGGAGCCCCAGTGCCAAGATGCACTGTTTGATTATGCCCCTTGTCTCCTCCTGGCTCTGCTCTGCCAAGTTTCTATGAGCACTGAGCAGATGCCACAGGAGGTCAGCACCTTCTGGAGGGGATGCCAGGAGCTACACGGCCTTCCCACCCACCCCAACAGGTGCTCCATGCCCGTCCCCTCTCCCTGCCGTGCCCTCGGGGCTGGGGCCAGGGCTCCCAGCCTGACATGGCCTTTGCTCTGCACACAGCTTTGTGGTGCAGACCATCCGGGCCCTGCTCTGCCGGCTGCAGTGGGACCAGGAGCTGGTGTCAGTGGAGCGCAAGCGTGGCTGGGACGCGCTCCTCTCTGCTGACACCCACCACTACGCGGTGGGGCTGCTGGCCAGGTGAGACAGCCTTGTCCCCGCTGCCCCTGGCATCTCTGCCCTGGGCACGGGGCAGCCCACACAGCCCCTGGGGGCGTGGGACAGAGGGTCTTGGCCCCAAGGGACGGCCCAGCCAGTGCTGGCAGAGCTTTGCCCACCCGACTCAGGACCAAGGGTTCCCTTTTTGCCCTGACAGGGAGATGCGCCACGTGTTGGTCCCCTCCTATGGCCCGCTGGCAAGGCACCTGCTGGGGCTGCTCAGCAGGGAGGGGCCCCGCTGGGAGCTGCCTGCCCTGGCCTTCCTTGTCGAGGTGAGCCCGATGGCCAGCACTGCCTGGCCCCGCTGCCTCCCCCTCTCTGCCCTCTCACAGCCGCAGCTGCCCGGGACGGTGCCTGCGCCCTGTGCTGCTGCCTGGGCCCAGCCCTGGCCGGCTCCGCGCTCCTGCCGCCCGCCCACCCCGGCACTGCTCTCTGCCTTCCAGGTCCTCAACTATTTGGACGTGAGCGCAGGTGATGACAGTGTCCTGCAGATCCTGGCAAGGCACCTGCAGAGCCAGTGCCCAGAGAGGCGGCGCCTGGCTCTGCGAGGGCTCCTGGTGCTCAGCGGGGATCCCTCCATGGTGAGAAGGGGGCAGGGGCTGAAGCCACACGGGCAGCCTGGGGCTGGAGAGGGCAGTGGCTTGGCCTTGGCTGGGCTTCGGGAGCTGTGGCAGCTGCTGCCAGATCTCCTGCCTCCCTCTCCAGCTGCCCAGGCCCTGTGGGACAGGCCTTTGGCCTCTGGGCCCCAGGGCAGCAGCGTGGGTTTGCACTGCCAGAATGGGGTTGGTGGGGCAGCTGTTCAGGGCTTCCCAGCACAGCCTTCTGTTCCCCACAGGCCAAAAGCATCTGCAGCCTGTCTGAGCCCCTCCTGGAGCTGCTGCGTGATGGAGATGGAGAGCTGGTCAGGATGACCCTCTCCCTGTTCCTGAATGTGCTCCAGGATGAGGAAGACAGGAAGGGACTCAGCTCCACTGCCCCGGGGCTGGCTGAGGCGCTCCGGCCAGTCTTTGACAACGTAAGGCTCTGTGCCCCCAGCCACAGGCACTGGGTGCTGCCAGGAAACTCGGTGGAGTTTCAGGTCTGGGCCTGGAGGGCCTGGAGCAGGCAGTGCTGAGGTCTTTTTTCTTCTTTGGCCCCAGGACAACAGCCACGTGCAGCTGCTCTCCATTCGCCTCTTCCGAGAGGTGATGGAGGTGCTGGCGGAAGAGGGAACAGAGCCCTGGGAGATGCAGGTGCGCCAGAGCCTGGTCCCACTGTTCTTCCGCTGGCACGACGAGAACCAGCGCGTGGCAGAGGTGAGCACTGCTGGGCTCTGGTGTCCCCGGGGCAGGGGCTGGGCTGCCTCCTGCCCTGGGACCTCAAGGGCTCAGGCCTCCTGCTGCCCTTGGAGCAGGGACACAGGGGCTGTGCCCTGGGCTGCGGTGCCATGTCCCGCTCTCTGCTGCTCTGCAGGCCGCTCGGGAAGCACTGCTCTGGGCTACAAGCTTCCTCCAGAGGAAGGACCTGGAGCAGCTGCTGGAGACAGAGCAGCCCTTCAGATTCTGTGACTGCCTGGTAAGGATGAGTGCAAAGGCCCAGCCCCAGGCTGGAGAAGCCCCCAGTGTGCAGTGTGCCGGCTGGCCCTGTGCCCCTGCCCACTGCTGCAACCACAGACACCCCCCTACTCTCTGCAGATGGAGAAGGACAGGAGCCGAAGGGGCGAGCACCTGCAGCAGGCCCTGCCCTACCTGCAGAGCCCACAGGAGCCCCTGCGAGAGGCGGCCGTCAGGTTCATGGGTGAGCCCCGAGGCCGCGGTCCCTCCCCGCCCCGCTGCAGCTCGGCCCCAGCCCCGGCTGCTGCAGCGGCAGCACGATGGGCCCAGGGATGTGCTGGGGAGCCCCGAGTGCCCTGGCGGCTGCTGCCGCCCTCTGCCAGCCCAGCCCCGGGGCCTCCTGATGCGGAGCCCCTGGGCCCTGACAGCCTCTGTGTTCCCAGGGGTCGCCGGCTGGCACATGAGGGAGTGGCAGCAAGACCTGTGGCCCATCCTCAAGGGTGAGTGAGGGCAGAGAGGCCTCCCTGGGGGCTGCCGGGGACCAGCACAGACCCTGGGCAGGGAGCTGCAATCCCTGCCCTGCCTGCACAGGGCTCTGCTCCCTGCACACCATGGCCAGAGCACACACACATGGCAGGGGCAGGGTGCCCATTGGTGCCCAGAACTTTCCCGCTCATCCCCTTGGCCCCTGCTCCCTCCTGGCTGTGCCAAGAGCTGCCTGGCATGGCCCTGGCAGGAGGGGCTCCTGGGGTCCCTGCACAGCCACTCTCTGACCCCGGCTCCCTTCCTCTCTCTTCCAGGCCTTACAGCCATGAGCGAGGACGACTGCCCCTCTGTCTCCAACATGAGAGCTGCACTCGTGGACACTTACAGCCGGGCCATGAGAACTCCACCTGCTCCGCTGAGACGACCAATGTCCCTGCAACAGCCCCCCACCACAGCCCAGGGACCACTTCTCAGCGCGGCTGCAGCTCCAGCTGATGTTGGACCCAACTGAGCCAGCCCGCAAGGCCAGGCAGCTCCTGGCCTCTGCAGCCTCAGGGACGGCTCCCTCCTTCCATTCCCTTCTCCTGACCCCACTTCATCCTTCCCCTTCCCCTGATGTTAATAAACCCTGGCTTTCTCCCCTTATCTGTGTCTTGGTGCAACTGAAAGGGCACAAACCCTCAGCCCTGCAGCTCACGGGCCCGCTCCTGCCTCTCTTTTGCCCCCTGCACCGTGGGCACACACCCCCAGAGGAACATGGGAGCTCATTATTCTGAACCCCTGGATCATTTAAATACGTAGCATGACATTTGCTGATAGAATAATAAGAAATCAATTAAAATTAAATTAAAATTAAAATTAAAAATAATTATCAAAATAGCACAGAGCGACTTGTTATCCTGAACCCCTGGATCTGACCCCGTCTTTATCTTTCCATGAAATCCATCCCAGTGACTGGGAAAGGGGAAGCACCAGCAATCCCAGATTCCCAGTGTTCACCTCCTGGAACATCCCCAGCCCCAGCTGCCTTTAAAGCACAAATCCCACCAAGTTTTCTTGAAGTTTGGAGTTGTTATTTCTCAGGAATTTGCTGCCCAACCTCCGGAGAGGAGATTATTCCATGAATAATCTTGGATTATTCCCTCCTCAGAGGGAGCAGGGAGCACTCGGAAGTTTATTGAGAGAATAATTTGTTCTTTAACATCAAAAACTGAGAAAGTGCAGAGGCAACAAGAAGGGAATGAAAATAACTCAACCAACACCCTTTCAGACACTAAAAAAAAAATCCCTTAAAAATGAAATTCCTGAAAGGAGGGACCAACAGAGCTGTTGGATTGACAGGGAATCATTCCCGGCCCCTAATCCAGCATCTGTTATCTCCAAAAACAGGCTGCAACGAAATCCCTGTGCTCTGGGGGAAAGTGTGCTGTGAAAAACAACCACTATTAATTGATTCCACCAATTAACTGCTAATCCAGGAGCCCTGATTATGATTAGTCTCCCAATCAATTCGTTTGATAGAAAGCTCTTTAAATTTGCCAAATTGCGGCTCAGCTCTTCCCTCTCCTGCTTTTTTTTCACTTCTTTCATCTAATTAACTGCTTTTTCCAGCAGTGAAAAGTGAGTTTTTTTCTTAATTGCCTCTTGACCCTTCCCCACTCTCCCGTGTTCCTGTCTTTAGAGGTGCTTCATCAGGAGAAAATGAAAATGCTCTCCAGGAATTAAAAATGTCGTTGGGCCCAGAGGAAACTTCCCGGCACAGGCTGCGAATCCTTTGGAATGATGTTTGCACAGCTTTTTTCCAGGGAAAAAGTCTGGCTCCTCTGGCTCCTGGATGGGCCTTCAGGCAATACAGGGAGATGAACCTCCGTGGAACTTCCGCGAAAATTGTTGGGAGCAACACCAAAACTGAGGAATGTGAGGTCCGGGAGGGGGCTGTGCTGCCACTGGAGCAGCCCAGGTGTCCCTAAATAGCCATGGAATCGTTGGGAAGAGTCTCAGTGCTGCCTCCAGCTCTGGGGGCCGATATCAGAGGGATGTGGAACTGCTGGAGAGAGTCCAGAGGAGGCCCCGGAGATGCTCCAAGGGCTGGGATGCAATTCCTGACTGGGAGGGTGGGGAGGGGCTGGAATAGAATTCCCAGAGAAGCTGTGGCTGCCCCTGCATCCCTGGAAGTGTCCAAGGCCAGGTTGGAGCCACCTGGGCCAGTGGAAGGTGTCCCTGCCCATGGCAGGGGGTGGCACTTGATATCCCATCCTTCACAGCTGCCCCATCCTTCCCAGATATCCCATCCTTCCCAGATATCCCACCCTTCCCAGATTCCCATCCTTCCCAGATGTCCCATCCTTCCCAGATATTCCATCTTTCCCAGATATCCCATCCTTCCCAGATATCCCATCCTTTCCAAATTCCCCATCATTCCCAGCTTCCCCATTCTTCCCAGATATCCCATCCTTCCCAGCTGCCCCATCCTTCCCAGATATTCCATCCTTCCCAGATATCCCACCCTTCCCAGATGTCCCATCCTTCCCAGATGTCCCATCCTTCCCAGATTCCCCATCCTTCCCAGATATCCCACCCTTCCCAGATATCCCATCTTTCCCAGATATCCCATTCTTCCCAGATACCCCATCCTTCCCAGATTCCCCATCATTCCCAGATTCCCCATCATTCCCAGATACCCCATCCTTCCCAGATTCCCCATCATTCCCAGGTATCCCATCCTTCCCAGATGTCCTTTATGGATCCTGGCACAGCTGGATTGGGATTTTAAATGCTCTGCTGCCGTTCTGCTCCAAATCAAGCCATGGGAAATCCCAAAATTAATCTTTCCTATGACATTCCAGCTTGGAAAAAAGAAGGAGCATTTCCATCCTGCTGCTGCATCAGGATATGGTGGGGAGAAAAAAAAAAAGACAAGCTCAGGGGAAAAGTGGATGGAATATTTTTAATTAATAATTATTTACCAAAATAATGTGAGATCCAAACATATCCATGTCCTCCATCCCTCTGGATAAAGAATTTTCCTCTTTCTTTCACTTCCCTTGTTTTCCCTTCAACAAAGAGGTTTATTTATTGTTATTTAGCATATTTTGTAGTTTTTTATATTATTTATATATATAAATATATATATTTTATAAATATAAAGTTTTTTATATTATTTGTATATTTTTATATTATTTAGTATATTTTAGTATATTTTATATTTACTAAAATACTATTAAATCAATACTATTAAATGTATTTAGTAAATACCTACTATTATTTATTATATTTTATATTCACTCTATTTCATCATATTTAGTGTAACTATGACATTATTTCACATAATATATAAAAATTTTAATTTACCATCATTTTATCACAAAAAATTATTCTATTTAATATATTTACTATAGTATATATTATATCATAATATATTATACTATATATATAAAATATATAAATATATAAATATATATTATATATATTATTATATATTATTTTATTATATTATATATATTATATTATATATTATATTATATATTATTTTATTATATTTTATATTATGTTATATATATTATTATATATTATATATTATATATATTATATATATTATATATTATATTATATTATGTTATTTATATTATATTATATTATATTATATTATATTATATTATATTATATTATATTATATTATATTATATTATATTATATTATTATAGTAACTCAACATCAATACCCCCCTGGGGTGAGGTCTGGTGTTGGTCCAGCCACCACCACTTGGAGGATTTCTCCCTAAACATGAATTTCTCAGGGATTTTTCCTCTTTTTCCAGACAATTTTGGAAATCCTGGTAGTTTTTAAAATTAAACTAAATTTCATCAAAATTAAAATTTCTATTTTTTTTTATTTTAATGCAGTTCCCCAAATCAAAACCTTCTCATTTCCAAACCAATCTCATGTTCACTTGCCCAATCCTTGTCCTTCTTCCAGCCTTTCTTGGGATAATTTTGGACCACGTGGATCAGGTTTGGGACCCAATTCAGGGCTATTTTTCATGAGACCTTTACACTCAATTAAATAACTTATTCCTTTGGTTTCTTTACACTAAATAAAATAACTTATTCCTCTGATTTTTTTACACTGGATTAAATAATTTATTCCTCTGATTTCTTAGCACTGAATAAAATAACTTATTCCTTTGATTTCTTTACTCTGAATTAAATAACTTATTCCTTTGATTTCTTTACACTAAATAAAATATCTTATTCCTCTGATTTCTTTACACTGAATTAAATAATTGATTCCTCTGATTTCTTTACTCTGAATTAAATAACTTATTCCTCTGATTTCTTAACACTGAATTAAATAATTTATTCCTTTGATTTCCTAGCACTGAATTAAATAACTTATTGTTCTGTTTCTTAAAACTGGATTAAATAACTTATTCCTCTGATTTCTTACACTAAATAAAATAACTGATTCCTCTGATTTCTTTACACTGAATTAAATAACTTATTACTTTGATTTATTTGCACTGAATTAAATAATTTATTCTTTTGATTTCTTTACACTAAATAAAACAACTTATTCCTCTGATTTCTTAACTCTGGATTAAATAAATGATTCCTCTGATTTCTTTACACTGAATTAAATAATTTATTCTTTTGATTTCTTTGCTCTGAATTAAATAACTTATTCCTTTGATTTATTTACTCTCAATTAAATAACTTATTCCTCTGATTTCTTAGCACTGGATTAAAAAACTTATTCCTCTGATTTCTTTACTCTGAATAAAATAACTGATTCCTTTGATTTCTTTACTCTCAATTAAATATCTTATTCCTCTGATTTCTTTACTCTGAATTAAATAACTTATTCCTTTGATTTCTATACACTAAATAAATTAACTGATTCCTCTGATTTCTTCACACTGGAATAAATAATTTATTCCTCTGATTTTTTTACACTGAATTAAATAATTTATTCCTCTGATTTCTTTACTCTGAATTAAATAACTTATTCCTCTGATTTCTTTGCTCTTAATTAAATAATTCATTCCTTTGATTTCTTTACTCTGAATTAAATAACTGATTACTCTGATTTCTTTACTCTGAAATAAATAACTGATTACTCTGATTTCTTAGCACTGGATTAAATGATTACTCTGATTTTTTAACACTGGATTAAATAATTGATTACTCTGATTTCTTAACACTGAATTAAATAACATTTTCCTCTGATTTCTTTACTCTGAATTAAATTTCTTTATTCCTCTGATTTCTTTACTCTGAATTAAATAACTTATTCCTTTGATTTCTATACACTAAATAAATTAACTGATTCCTCTGATTTCTTCACACTGGAATAAATAATTTATTCCTCTGATTTTTTTACACTGAATTAAATAATTTATTCCTCTGATTTCTTTACTCTGAATTAAATAACTTATTCCTCTGATTTCTTTGCTCTTAATTAAATAATTCATTCCTTTGATTTCTTTACTCTGAATTAAATAACTGATTACTCTGATTTCTTTACTCTGAAATAAATAACTGATTACTCTGATTTCTTAGCACTGGATTAAATGATTACTCTGATTTTTTAACACTGGATTAAATAATTGATTACTCTGATTTCTTAACACTGAATTAAATAACATT